TAGTCCGCCCCTCCAACGGTCTGAGGGACAGTGAACTGGCCCCCTGTTTTAAAAGTTTGAAGACCTCTCTAAAGACCATGCCTTTCCATCCACCTGGCTAAAGAGACTGCTGGCTTCAACATGCTCTTCATTTATTAATTGCCAGAGTCATCCCAAATAATTCCAAGTGCCATGAAGATAGATAAACGGAAGACTCAGCTATGAAAGATAGACCAGCACCTCGTCTAGGAAAGCAGACACATGTTGGAGAGAGGACGCAGGCAACTCGCCAAAGAAAACCGTCTGAGGGAAATCAGCTACTCCAGGGCCTTCGGTCATCTTCTTGGCAATGTACACAAGTTTATGTTTTGCATCCCTTGGAATCTAAAACAAGAGCAAGGATATTAGTTCAAGTTCACTGTGTGGTTTCTCCTGTTAACAAGCAGGATTTGCTCTATCCAACTAGCAGCCGGATTGCTAGCAGAAGTAACCAAACCTGGCATGTTGCCGACCTCGACAAACAAGGCCCTGCCACTTCTCTTCCCTGCTTTGCTGCCTGTAGACACTTTTCTTTGTTCTTTTATCATGCTAATTTCACACATGACTAGTGTGGAAATATTACCTTTTGAAAGGCATGTCAATTACACCAGATCATTATATATGAAAAAAAAACCCTCATAATTAAAAACAAATAAGGAACATGTAGAATGTTTTCACTGTAAAAGGTTATTCTTTTTTATAAGCTTTCTTATTTGGAAATAAGCCAAACGAAGATAAAGACAAGACACAGGAGGTTAATTTGTATTTCTATCAAGAAATAGAAGAGTCTCACCAAAACATTCTAACATTTCCAGAACTACGAGACACTTCCATCAGATATTGTAACAACCATTTAACTTAGGTAATACTCGAATTATGTGTTCTATCGCCTTGTCTATTGAAAAACTTTTTTAAAAATAAAATAAAACTAACAACTTGGAGAGTACCAAAACAAAAAATTCAAAATTCACAAAACCCTGAGATCCCATTGCCTGATGAGCCTTTACAGCATGACTCTGAAGCACAGCACTGCCTAGGACTGGGATTCTTGCTCCAGACCCTTCACACTTGAAAAACATAAATACAAACTCCGTGCTTGTAGGTATAGTCAATCTCCTAGTGGACAAGCAATCTAAATTTAAAAAGAAAGTGGGGGGGGGCAGAGAGGAAGGACAGAATTCCTCCCCCTACGTGGCTAGTAAATGCCATGTGTGCACAGATCGCCGGGACTCCTTTTTAAGGACTCTTTTTCCCGGAGATGAAGTGTAGTTGACAGGCAATCAGTCTGAATACACGGCAAGGTGTATGTGTGGGCCCTGCCGAGCTCCACGTTTTAAAACAAAATTTTGAGACGAGGTCTCGCTCTGTCACCCAGGCTGGAGTGCCAATAGCTGGGATTACAGGCGCGTGCCACCACGTCCCGCTTTCTTAGAGAACGAGGTCTTTGCTAAGTTGCCCAGGTGGTCTCCAGCTCCTGTTGTTAAGCAGTTCTCCTGCCTCTCAAAGTGCTGTGATTACAGCCGTGAGACACCGCGCCCGGTCAAACACCCCACACCCCCCCCCCCTTAAGCATATGACTCAAGAGCGACTGAAAGGGAAGCTATTTGACACTGAAGCCCAACTTGAGCCCAACAGCCCGTGAGTAGCTGAAGAAAGCGCTGGTCTTCCCGCATCATCCGGGTTGAACAGGCTCAACGCTGGATTCTGGGTCAGATACAAAAGGTTGTCCTTCTAGAAAACTAGCCTGCGACCACGTTCACTACAGAGTGGGTGCCCCCGAGGGGAGGGCGGAGCGCTAAACTTCGTCCGAGGAGAGGGACGTAGACAAGTTTGCAGGAGCCGGGTTTGCCCAGCGGGGATCCCAGGAGGCGCGAGGGGGCTGCACCGCCCGGCTCTGTGTTCGTGGCAGGTCCCCTCGCCCGTCCCTCTTACCTCCGGGGAGGCCGAGAGCCGCCCCGCAGCGCCGACGCTGAACACAAGGCGGCCGGGGCTGGAGCTTTCCAGAAACTCCCCCAGCACCCGCCGGCTGTCCTCGCTCTCCAGGTGGCGGCCCCACTGCTGCTCCGGGAGTCCCAGCATCTGCCCCAGGCGGCCGCCGAGGAAGCGCACCCGCGGGTCCAGGGCGAAGCTCCGCGCTCTTCGCGCGGCCGCCGCCTCCTCTTCCTCCTCTTCCTCCTCCTCCTCGTCCTCGAGCTCCATAGCGCCCGCCACCTCCAGGCCGGCCTCCGGGGTTGGGCGAAGGGTCGGGGCCTCGCGGAAGCCTCGCGCCTCCCGGGCTGTCGCCGGGGCTGCCATCGGGCACGTCGGGGATGCGAGCCGAGCGGGCGAGGACACCGCTGCGAGCAGCCCGAGGCGCCCTTCCTCCTCTGCGAGCGCTGGCCCTCGTCTCCCACCTGCTCCCACTTGGCGGCTGGCGACCGGACGCAGTGGGAACCCTGGGGAGCCAAGGCGGTGCCCTGGGACAGCGGCGCGTCCCGTTTCCTTGGAGACGGTGTCCACGCCCCGGCCCGCTGGGGGCGGAGTGAGCGCTCCTGCTGCAGCCCAGCGGAGGCCAAGGCCAAGGCCGAGGAGAGCGGTCCTCGGCCTTTAGGTTCCGAACTCGGCCTGGAAGAGGCGTGCCCTGGGCCAGTCCGAGCCCCCAGTGGGCTTGCTCCCCTGCCTTCCCCCGCACCCAGCCATAGACGCGGCGGGGACGCCCGGGGCTGGGGTACAGCCAGGTGGTGGCTTCCTGCTCGGGCTTGCGTGCAATCCCAGGAAGCCAGGTCTCTTCCTGGTCACTAAGGGCAAGGGCCTAATCCTAAGCCACAAAGAGAGGGTGGCACCGGGATTCAGGGCCCAATCTGAGGGCTTTCTTCGCCTTGCCCGAGTTGTCCAAATATGACCCGAGAAGAGCCAACTCCGAAAACCCCAATTTCTGAGTTGTGGAAATTCACCGTCAGGTATTCCAAGTCCTGGTTCCCGTCCTCAACCTGACACTTACTGGAGTGTCAATACCCTTGTGCTCTTTGTAAACCCCAAAGTGTTCTGAAAATCTGTAGAATTTCAAGTTCAAGTTCAAGAGTAAAAAGGTCAAAAGAGAAAAGTTTCAGATTAAAAATAACCTTCATGATGCCGACATGGGACTTCCCTGTGGTCCATGAATGACATCTGTTGAGACCATTATGGAAATGCTGATTACTGAAGTAGCCACAATTTTGAGAGAGGAGTCCTTCAACTAAGTCCCCCTTAAATCGTTCATGGACTAAAGACTTCAACCCCCACGCCTCCCATATGACCTACTGAAGGAGTGTTGCCCCCAGTAATCCATATAATACCTGGTTTTTGATAAATGGGTGTTTCCAGTAAGATTGGGGACAATTTTCCTTTTAGGATATTAATTGTCTCTGAATACCATCTGAGTTTCTAGATGTATGATCAGAATCTTGAATTCACACAGGCTTTCAAAGAGCCTTCATAGTGACTTCCACCGGTCAAGGCTGCTCTGCAGGGCCCATGATCACTCTAGGGCTCCCAGTCGCTGCTGTAGAATGAAGTCCAGCAATCACAAGTCTCTCCTCTCACTCTCATGTTCCAGCTATGCACCCCTGGACTCCAGATAAACAGGAATTCTGTAAATGATAACTCAATTAAATTTAAAGTGAATAACCACTTTCAAATTCAGTAGGAAAAAAATGTTTAAATACTGCTAATATTCAAATACAATTTTCAGGCTGGGCATGGTGGCTTATACCTATAATATTAGCATTTTGGAAGGCCAAGGTGGGAGGATCGCTTGAACCCAGGAGCTCAAGGCTGTGGTGAACCATAATCCTGCCACTGCACTCCAGCCTGGCTGCAGCGTGAAACCCTGACTAAAAAAAAAAAAAAAAAAAAAAAAGACAATTTTCAAATATTTAAATATGTAACTCAAAATATAGAATGAAGGCATGTCAAAGATTTACTCAACTCATGAATGAGGAAACTAACAAAATGGGGACATGAGTTCCAAGGACAATTAGAGAAAGAGATTTCTAAGCATTGGAGAAAGACTGTGAGAATCAGATTGCTAGGCTAAATACAATACTTGTGAATGTCTTATAGGGCAATATAATTATTTGGGGTTTTTTTAAGAATAATTTGTTTTTCAGAAATAATTTACATCTGTAATGAACCAACATCTATAAATAAAAAACACAGCTTCACACATTTGGGGTCTTTAGTCAATAGTAGCTAATAAGTCCAAGACGTGCTTCTCCCTAAGAATGAAATAATCCTTCGGTGAGCTGCTTAAGCAGTGTTTCAATATGACAAAGGACACACCACCTTTTCTTTACCTTAATCCCAAATTGTGTCTGTTTTTTCTCAATAATAACAGCTAACGTTTATCAAGCACCAACCTTGTGCCACATACTGTGCTGAGTTCATTTATCTGCTCAACAAATGTTTCTTGAGTGCCTACGAAGTGCCAAGCTCTCTCCTCGGTGCTGGAGAGTACAACAAAAAACTAAACTAACTTCCTATCTTCATACTGCTGATACAAGGTAGACTTCATTGGCTAGACTGGAACTACACCCACTGGGTTTGCATTTCATTTCTGTGTTCTAGGTGCCTCAGTTTCTTCATCTGAAACAGGAAAAATAAAATAGTAGATAAGATTGTTTTTCAGCATATATCTCTCCCCCTTCTCGAGAAGAGTATACTTATATCTTTCCATTCCATTGATGTGAATAGACATCCATGGAATGTCTATTTATGGTCATATGACTTGCTTTGGTCAATGGAATGTGAATAGACATAAAAAAATTCAGTCCTGAAGTGTCTGCCTGGTAAGGCTTGACCTCGTGTGCCTTTGCCAATGTCATGAGAACATCTCCAGCTAGCTTGCTAGTGCAAGGAACCAACCCGAACCCAACTTGTAGCAAGTCCAACTAAGTCTAGTCTTGATCAAGCTACCCTCAGCCCACAGGTGTATGAACAAAAATAAGTGATTATTGTCTTAAGCTACATAGCTGTGGTGAGGTTTGTTATGCAGCGACAGTCTGACAATAGTCAATGATAAACCACATCCTAGGGTTTGTTGTGAGAAGTAATTCAGTTTAAATATGTAAAAAGCACAAACATGTAGGCTGGTGCCTGACCTATTTTTGATTAATTGGGAAGGGGGAAACATGAGAAACCAAGCAAAGATATAGTATGCTTATTATGTCAGATTATGATAAGTAAGTTCTAAGAAGAAAAGCAAAGGGGAGGATGTGTGTATATGTGGGGAGGATGTCGTTTAGCATCCATGTTCAAGGAAGGACTCACTTGAACAGAAATCTGAGAGAGTGAGCCATGGATTCTGGAAGAAGAATGTTCCGGGCAGAGGGAAGAGCAAGCAGGCTCACAAGAGAGGATGCTTGGCTTCTGGAGGAACAGCAAGAAGGCCAGTAAGAGGGACAATAATAGGAGATGGGGACAAAGAAGAAATGTGGAGCAGAATCATGTGGGGATGGGATAATGGCTGTGATTTAAAAAAAAAAACAAGGTGATTGACCAGGTGTGGTAGCTCACGCTTGTAATCCCAGCACTTTGAGGGACCAAGGCAGTATAATCTTGAGCCTAGGAGTTCAAGACCAATCAGGGCAGCATAGTGAGACCTCGTCTCTATAAAACAAAAAGTTAGCTTGGTGTGGTGGCGTATGCCTGTAGTCCCAGCCACCTGGGAGGTTGAAGCAGAAGGATCACTTGAGCCTAGGAAGTTGAGGCCACAGTGTACCATGATCTGTGCCACTGCACTCCAGCCTGGGTGACAGAGGGAGACCCTGTCAAAAAAAAAAAAAAAATCCAATCCCTACCACTACACAATATGTCCATGTAATGAATACATGTGCACCCTGAATCTAAAATTTTTAAATGTTAAATAGAAACTCAAGGTTATATAACAGAACAACTAACTGTCATGAATGTCCACTCATCCTTTCTTCCTCTTGGCAACAGAACACTCATCCCCATTTCAAGCTTTAATAGGACTTATAGTCACCCAAACCGGAAATTTCATTTCCTAGTTTCCCTTGTAACTAATGTAAAGTGAAAATAAATGAGGTATGTGATATTGGTGTCATGTACTTAAAAAGAATCTGCCAGCTTTCTGTTTCCTCATGTCTTTCCACCTTACTGGCTAGTATATAACCGTGCAGTGCTAAGTCAGGATAAGTCACGCGAATGACACTTCTGCCTATGACAGGACACTCAAGGACACTCAGTCTCCCTCACACACACACAAAAATACACACACACACACACACACACACACACACACACACACACTTCAAACTACAATACAATACTATGGGTTTTTTTGGGTTTTTTTGAGTTGGAGTCTCACTCTGTTGCCCAGACTGGAGTACAGTGGCCACTTCCGGCCACTGCAGCCTCGACCTGCTGGGCTCCAGCGATCCTTCCACCTCAGCCTTCCAAGTACCCGGAATTACAGGCATGCGCTACCACGCCCGGCTGATTTTTTGATTTATTGTAGAGATGAGGTCTCGCTGCCTAGGCGGGTCTCGAACCCACAGGCTCAGGCAATCCACTCACCTCAGACTCCCAAAGGCGCGGGATTACAGGCTGAGCCACCGAGCCCGGCTCAATACTATGTTTTAACTTATTTTTTTTTTGAGTTGGAGTCTCACTCTGTCACCCAGACGAGTGCAGTGGCCACTCCCAGCCACCGCAGCCTCGACCTGCTGGACTCCGGTGATCCTTCCGCCTCAGCCTTCCGAGTAGCCGGAATTACAGGCTCACGCTATCACACCTGGCTAATTTTTTGATTTATTGTAGAGATGAGGTCTCGCTGCCCAGGCAGGTCTCGAACCCGCGGGCTCAGGCAATCCACTCACCTCAGCCTCCCAAAGGCGCGGGATTACAGGTTGAGCCACCGAGCCTGGCTTATGTTTTAACTTATTAGCTTTAAGACTGACTTCATCTTCTTGGCATGGATAAGAAAACAGGCACTCTCCTACATACACACAAACTACACACGGGGCTAGTCATTATAGAATTAATTGCAAGAACAAAAGACTAGAAATAAGCCACATATCCAGCTATAGGAAACTAGTCCAATAAACTATATAACACCCAAACAATGGAGTATTATACAGTCATAAAGAATATCTCGGCCAGGAGCAGTGGCTCACACCTGTAATTTCATCACTTTGGTGGGAGAATTCCTTAAGCCCAGGAGTTTGCACTCAGCCTGGGCAACATAGTGAAACATCATCTCTACAAAAAAAAAAATAAAGAGCCAAGCATGGCGGCATGGTGCCAGTGGTCTCAGC